AGAAAACCTGAACAGATCAAGAATGAGTGATGAGATTGTCTTACTTGCTTCCCCACTGAGACATAGTGCCTGAAACCACACTTAAAAGAGGACAGCGGTTGGTTTAGGCTCACAGTTTTTAGGGGATTCAGCCGAGTGAGACAGCTCCAAGACAGAGAGCATAGTGCCAGGGCCTGGGCAGAGAAAGCTGCTCATCCCCTGGCGGTCAGGAACTGGAGAGAGGAGAGAGGAGCCTAGAGGGAGAACCAGAGGAATTCTCTGAGATCAGGACTAAAAGCTGAACTCCTCCAGAGAAGTTTGCTTTTGTTTTATCCAGTTGCCTAGGGAAAAAGGCAGTGCCAATTTGTTACTGTTTTAAATTGTTTTACTGAAGTTATTTCAAAACAAGGAAGGTAGTAAACAACTGGACTCTAAACCATCATAAAGCTAAGCATATATACCACTTAAACAATTTCTCAGGGGAGATATTTTTGTCTTCTGTGCATCACGTTTCAAATGGGCAAAATTTTTTGTTTCTTGTTTATTCTTAAAATGCAGTATGGTCCTTTGAGGCTGGCTATTTGTATCAGGATAATGCTCCTCTGGAGGAAAAATATTAGAAGATAAACTACAGGAAATCAAAATTGAATGCAAGACAAGAGCATTAAACAAAAATTGGCCCATATATTAAGTTATACTGAAAATATTTTTTACTTCCCCACCAAAAAAGACACTATTTATTGAGTAAAAATGAAATTAGACACTAATAGTAAAGATGTAATCAAGAAAAATACATACTTAGAAATTTAAAAGAAATATTCTCAATTACTCTTGAGTTTAATAGGAAATCTGTACACATTAATTTAATAAAAACTACGTAAAAGCAATTAAATAAATATTAACGAAAAGAAAGAAAATAAAAACAAATGCATAAATGAAACAAAAGAGATTATTATCAGAATTTAAAATGTTTAAAAAGACATACAAAGATATATGCAATAGACTAGTAATAAACTATAGGGATGGAAAAGTTACAAATGACAGCTAATAAGGGCATTTTAAAATTTTGATAAAATACTATATAAGATTTCAAATAAATAAATTTGAAAATTTAGATAAAATGGATAATATTTTTGAACCATTCAATTGGTAAAATTGCCTTAAGAAGTACAAGCTCTGAGTGGACCAAAGAAAGATATTAATATGATAGTCATGTAGCTCTACTTTTAAGAAAGGCGTGGGCCTCCTAAAAAGAGTAAATGCCCCCGTGTTATACAAACTGTTCCTGAGTGTAAAAAATACAGACACTCCACAGTTACAAGAATGGGCAAAGGCCAACTTTCTCTTACAATAAATTAATATCCTAAATAAAATATTAACTGAAATGCACTAGCATAGTAAGATAATAATGCAGCATAACCAAGTAGAGTTTATCCACAAAATGCAAGGATTCCAAATTGCAAAATATATCATGTAATACAATAGCATTAAGGAATAAAATCATATACAAGGTGAACAAAGAAAACAAACACCTTCCAGTCATCATCTACACATGGCAGAAAACACTACCATTTGTGATGCCTACAAAGATATAAATTTTATCAGAACAAGCTTATTAACAAATAATTAAGGTTTATATGAAAAATGCCATAAAATTTTACAAAAAATAAAGAAAGATGCATCTGAATGGGAATTCTCAACTGTAAAGGTGTCATGTCTCCTGCAAATTCATTCACTCTAACCACAATCTCAAATTTTACCTATGGAACTTGATACATTGATTCCGAAGTTCACTGGCAAGAGAAACAGCATAAAAGTAGCCAAAGACAAAGTGCAATATTAGATAGCAGAACATGCTGATGGACAGATCAATAAAAGAATAACTTGAAAAATAAATTCATAGTTACCTGAACCTTTAGTGTATAGTAACAACAAAATTTTGAATTTCTTGGGTAAAGAATATACTATTCCATAAATGGTATTGGGAAAACTACCTCTCCATTTGGAAAAAAATAGTTAAATTTCTGCCTCATACCAAAACAAAAATAAATTCCTAATGAATTAAAGCATCTGTGTACACATGTGCATGTGTATACATATATGTGTGTAAAAATACATAGAGTATTTGTTCAAATTTAGGAGGTAGATTACAGTTCTAAGTAAAACCACATATGCAAAAGGGGAAAAAAATGATTGAATTGACAGTAAAAAATACAAAAATTTTCAAAAGAAAAATGATAAACCTGGGGAAATATTTGCAACATATGTAATACACAAGAGAGATATACACACAACATATAAAATATACATAATATATAAAGGATGTTTATTCAGAAGACACAAGTAACAGTTTAAAAATCAAAACTAATGAAAAAAGTTGATCAATGATATGAACAGGGAGCTCACAAAAAAATACATGTCATATGGCCTATAAACATACAAAAATATCCAACTTCATTACTAGTTAGTGAAATTCAAATTTAAGACACTAATTTGTCCATGAGATAGGGTCAAAAATAAAAAGAAGTGGTGATTGTCCAATTCTGGCAATGATTTAAAGAAGTAAATATGTCCATAGAGTTTTTCTGCTTACAATATATATAAACTATTAATTATAATTTAAACATATTTTTATTTCCCAAAGGTAAAGTTATACTTTAAAAATAAGGTGGCCTTGTGGTCATTGATCACAATCACTTTTGATTCTATAGTTACAAAACTTTCATCCCCTACAAGGACTTCCCCATGTATCCTAGCTTCATCCTAAAAAAAAGTGGGCAATAAACATTTGCTTTCAACTCAGATATAGGATTTATGTCATTTACATTCTTTGTGATACTTTAAGTGGAATAGTACCCTTTGGGAAGAATCTATTAAAAGTAAATATAACTTTGAACCAGCAGTTAAAAATATTATTTATTATTATGTTACTGATATCACTGTGTGCTTCTACCTAAGAAAAAAGAAATAGAATAAAACCGTATTTCCAGATGTTCATATAAATGCAATGGTAAAGCATATTTCTAAAAAATCTAGGAGCCAACTTTAATCTCTGGTGTGGGGACTAGTATTGAAGAAAAGGAAAGGTTAACTTTTACTTATAAATATTGTGGAATGTTTATAATGAGTATATTAATATTTAGAGAAAATGAAATTACAAATTTCATTTGTAAACCCTTCAGCGGTTTCTGAGGTGACCAGGTTATCACCGGTCCTCTAACAGACATTTAAGAACTAGCAAAGACAACCTCTAAGGTCCTTCACACTCTCATCTCAAAGAGATGACTTGCATTTCAAGGGCAGTGGAAGGTAGAGTAAAACTTCTCAGGCCACCTGCATTCTGGGACCTGCCTTAGATAATGTATGTACCCCACCAAGTACGATCACAGACTCCAAACTTTGAGCTGCTAGGAATCTCCCACAAGCTCTGCAGGAGGCCAAGACTTCCCAGGAGAAAAGTAGAATTGCTATTAGCTGAGAGCTACACTCTTGGAATCCTAATTAAGCTTAAGATTTTTCTTCAAAGTCTCCATTCCTCTTCTTCCCCGCTACTGAGTCTCCAAATTTATCCCCCAGGCTCCTGGGTGCCTCTGTCCCTGGAGTTCTCCTTCCTGGATGTACCCTAATTAAGCCACAGTTGAAGTGAGACTTCCTGGGAGGCTTGTTAAATTCAGTGCTTATGAAAAATGGAAAAACATCATTAAGAACTTCAGCTGATTAAGTAATTGGACCAACATCAGCAGCTAAACAGGAAAAGCAAAAATGACTCAGTGTCCCTTCAAGGTACCTGAATAAACTCGGTTTAACTTTTTCCTAACTCCATCCCAAGAGTGTACACCAGCTACTGCGCAAAGGCCCAAGATACTTTCCCTTTCAACACCCTGCTGTTTTCATCACACATTGCATCATCATAGCCTCCTCCCTCCACTAGAGTTCTCATTACCACTTCCATCCATGATCACGTCAAAACTATCATCCTCTCCCTATTGTTACCATTCTCAATATCATCACCCACTGACCACCAGTCAGCTCCACTATCCCATCGCTGTCATGACCACCACTGTAATGTACATCTGCAGCTCATGAGCAAAGGGCAATGTGATGAAGACTCAGAAAAAGTCTTTCTTTGAAAAAAAAAAAAACAAGAAAAATATTTTTCAATAGCTCTTCTATAATTTCAATCAGTTGCAAGATAATAAAACATGCTATGATAAAAAGGTAGTACACTAAGAAGAATATAATAAATATAATTAAATAAAATTGAACCTGGAAGCAGTTAATGTAAAGACTAACCTTCCATAAAAATTGAAATATTCCCTAGGATGAGGGCAGAAAATGATAATTACAGACTGGAGGATCAGATACATAGATCCATTCTACAAGTGTTAAAGGATTTCTAAAAAAGAAAACAGTAAATGGATCTGAGCCAATATCCAAATGCACGATATATAATAATTTTCTGGACCAGTCCAACCTTCTACCTCTGGTGAGCCTGAGTGTGCAAGGTGCCCTCTGCTCATGGTCAGAGGAACATGGTGTTAAGTTTTAAGCACAGCTTTGGGGACTTTGATGACCACCCTAAACAACCCAAAGGGAAATCACCAAAGTTTACAGTAAATGATGAAGAAGTGAATATTTTCAATCATAAATCAAAAAACATGAGGTTTAACAGAATAAGAGAAACTCCAGAGAATGCCTTCAAGAAACTGAAGTATCTGAACTCTGCTTCTAAAACTGGTTCTAAGAAAAAAAACAAACAAACAAAAAAAAAATTTAAAAGATTACTGTTGGAGTATTTCTGGGAAGATGGTGAAATGGCTAACAGGAAAGAAACAGCCTTTCCAAGATTTGGTATCCAAACACTGGAATATAGCAATGTGAGGAGGAGAAGGAGGGAGGTGGGTCCCCGGAACCCAGCAAAGCTCTGAAGTGAGAATTGAAGCCCACAGGGAGAGTGAAAGAGACTTCATTGAGGAGGGAGGAGGTGGCTGGTGGCGCTGTCTCCCTGAGCCCAGACTCACTGCGTGGGAGGGGCAGCTCGAACTTGCAGATATGGCGTAGCTGGTGGAGGTCCCAGAGGTCTCTGAGGGGAGAGGTAGCAGTGGAACAGAGCAGTGGACACAGTAGACTGCAGCGGCTGGTGAGAGGGTGATTGGCTGGGAGCCATCTTGGAGAGGGGCCAACTGAACTTGGAACCCAGAGTAACTGCTGGCTGTATCCAGCAGTTCCCAATGTCAGGGTAAGGGAGCCGAGTTCAAGGCAGCAGAAAGTCAGCGAGCTGAGTTTGAGCTGGCAAGGAGCCAAGTTCAAGCCGGAAGGGTCACACAGACTGCTGCAGGCTGAATGTCTCTGGCTCCAGCCTCATGACCAGACCAACCTGAACTTCAGTGGAACTAAAGGTGCAGGCTTGCTGGGATTATCCCTTTCCCCACTGTAAAACTACAGCTGGTTTGCTGGGACTAATCATCTCAGATCTGAACTCATAGTCTTACCAGTGACAGCAGAGACACACCTTGGAGTGGACTTTTTTCCTTATTATTTACTTTTTTTCCTTTCTTTTCCTTTCTTTTGTTTTTTTTTTCTGGATTCTTTGTTCTCATTTTTATATGAGTGTGAATATAGTTTCTAGTGTTTTTGTTGTTGTTCTGTTCTGTTCTTGTTTTTATTTCTTTCTTCTATCTTTCCCTTCTATCTTCAAGTTTCCCAAACTTTGTATGAGCTTCCTTTGTCCTCCAGCCTTGCTTCTAATCTCCTCCTCTTCTTCTATTTCTCTATTTTTCCCTATAACACCTTTTAAATTTTCTCCCCTGAGGGTAAAATTACTATATTGAGGACTTATTTACTACACACAGTTTTCTGGTTTATTTCAGATTTTGTTATATAACCACAAATCTAGCTCATACGGTTCAAGATGGCAAATTAACAGTTACCTCAGCTTGTTGTTTTCTAGGCTGTGTTTGATGCTACTGTTATTGCTGATGGTACCACTTCAGCCAAAGTGGCATAATTGTTCTAACAAGCTGTTCTTCCTGTTGTACCAAGACTGAGAATGCCTAAGACTCATAAACAATACTATAGGCCAGTGCCAAAGAACCAGGGGCTGGGCCAAGTAGACAGCAACTTCTCATCCCCAATAAATTTAAGAGGTAAGATCTTGCAACAGACTCAAAACTCAAAAGCCAGTTACACATGGAAGACATCTCTGAGAATAGTCATTTCCTAAGGGTTCTAAATACTAGCAATAAAGCTACCCATCATAGGCAATTTATAAGCATTAACCCAGGAATTAACTTTAAAAAGAAAGAGAGAAAGAGAGAAAGAAAGAAAGAGAAGAAAGAAAGAAAGAAAGAAAGAAAGAAAGAAAGAAAGAAAGAAAAAAAAGAAAGAAAGAAAGAAAGAAAGAAAGAAAATGAGAAAAACTTAAACAAGAGGCAACTCTAGACTTCCAGATCACCAAAGGTAAACCCAGGAGGAGTGAGGTGGAACAATCTGAAAGCCACCCACCTGGACTCTCTGAAATAGTAACAGCAGAAGGAACAAGCAAATGAATGAGGCTCTAGAAAAAATCAAATCAGAAATAATTTCTCAGATAACTACAGAGATGGTGACCATAATGAAAGACATGCTTAGTGACTCTAGAGCAGATACAGATTTTAAAAATAAAGAAGCTTAGGAAAACAATGGAAATTATAAATGCCCAACACAGGAAAGAAAAGGGATCTATGAAACAGATTCAAACAGATATCCAGGAGATTAAAAATTGCATTGAAAGTATACACAGCAGAATGAGCCAATATGAGGACAGAATCTCAGATATAGGATTGTGGTTAGCAATCATGAAAAGAAAGGTTTCTTAAAAATAGCAAGGGACCACAAGAAATCAACACAGCAGCTACTAGATGATACAAAAAAGAATAACACAAGATTGATCAGAGTTGATGAAAAAGCAGAGGATAGCACAAATGATATGAAAAACCTGTTCACAGAAGTCATGGCAGAAAACTGTCCAAGGAGGGAAAAAGAATGAGGCATGTAGAACTTCACTTAGCCAAGATCAAAATAAATCTACACCAAGGCATATAATAGTCAAGATTCCAGAAATTCAACACAAGCACAGAATATTAAAAGTGGTTAGAGAAAAGATACAAATCACATATAAAGGAAAACCATCAGAATCAGCAGACTTCTCAGTGCAAACCCTCACATGAAGGAGAACTTGAAGTATTTCAAGTCCTAGAAGAAACCAGTTTCAAACTCAGATTAATGTACCCTCACAAAATTATCCTTCAAAACTGATGGAGAAATAAGATATTTCAATGAAAAAGAATACCTGAGGTAATTCATAAACATCAAACCAGCACTACAAAATGTTCTGAAGGGCATTCTAGAATGAGATAAAAAGGATTACAGCTCCATTAACCCCAACAGAATGAACTAACCAGGCAAGGCAAACAAGTAAATGGGGGGGGGCACAATAGGAACTCTACTGAACTCTTATTTTAAAATCTCAAACAGCCTCAGACCTCCGCAAGAAAAGCTTTCCTGCTCGCTTTATCTAAGCTAAATGGATTAATTATAAGCACTTGTAGCACCATGCACCTTTGACTTAAATCCCACTAACAAATGTATTTTTATTTCTATGATTCTTCAATTACTGTCTGCCATGCCCTCTGATTATAACATCCATGAAAGCATGCACAAAGGAGGCAAGACATGTGTCAAAGCTCTTTTGCAGTGAGCTGATGTGGACTGCAGCATTTCACAGTAACCACCCACATCCTTAAAGCACCCTGTGGGGAAGTACAGGCAGCCTTCCAATTGTTCTTCCTTTTCTCCCTGCCATGGAGGGCCTCTCTGGCTTACCTATGGCCTTCAGAACTCTTAAAGTGAAAAGGAGGCACCTTTCTCATTCATTCACAAACTTGCAAAGGACCTCATTAAAATCTCCGATCTTCTCAGCGTGCATCTGTGAGTGGCAGGGGTGAGAATGGGGAGGAAGCCCAGAGGTACAGCAGCTCAGCCCAAACTTCTCTCCACAATCTCTTGGAGAGCCCTCCCTTGACCATGAGGAAGACCTCCCTCAGTGAAAAGCAGAAAAGCGTTACACTGCTGTCCCCACTAGAACAAGGAACACAACAAATATGCCTATTTAATGAATCTTCCTTCCACATTTCAAGTCTTTTTGTGTATTTGACAGATGGATGATGATAGAGTGATGATCACAGGATTGATTTGTGTCTAGCAACTCCAGCCAGTCATGGTAACACATGTTTATAATCCCAACGTTCAGGAGGCTGAGGCAGGAGGATAACCACGATTCAAGGCCAGGCTAAACTACAGAATGAGACCCTGTCTCAAAAAGAAAAAAGTGGCACTTCAGTGAAGATTTTACACTAACAGGAAAAGTCCCATCAATAACTTTCTATGGTTGTCTTCCTGAAAGACAGGAAGATAGGGAATATTAGGGAATGTAAAAAAGGAATCAACCATAATCCCTCTTCTCTGAACTCAATGAGATTTTCTTCTCAATGTATTTTCTTCAACTTCTTTTTTTTATCAAAAAGATATCATGTTCAAACTGGCATCACGTACCCTAGTCATTTATTTGGTAGATTTCTGTTTTCCACTTCATGTTCTATCACATTTGCTCCTAGTTCTTTCATATTCAATAATTTCATCATCTAAAATGGATACATAATAAAAGGTACAGGAGCTATAGTAGGGGGTGAGTGTGCACTACTTACATACATAATAATAGGTACAGCTTAACAAAATTTTCTTTTTTTTTTTTTTTTTTTTTTTTTTTGAAACAAGGTCTCACTATGCAGTTCAGGCTGGCCTTGAGCTCACTTTGTAGCCCAGGCTGGTCTCGAACTTGCAATGATCCTCCTGCTTCAGCCTCCCGAGCGCTGGGATTACAGGCGTGCACCACTACGCTTGGCTTCAAAATTTTCTTTTATAAGAAATACTGAAATATGCATCTTTGTGTACATAGAATTCTGCATTTTTTTATTAATTTCTTAGGAGTGCTTTCCAGAATTAATTTCCTAGACTATGTTGGATGTCTGATTTTGCTGGCCAGCACCCACACCAAAGGTTTCTACTAACAGTAGCTTGAAGTTTCTCTCCATAGAAGCTTAGAATAGCCCAGAAATTCCAACATACTGGTTTATATGATTAACATAAGGAAATGATCAAAGTATAATTTCATGAATCACTTGGCTTACTACCATACAAAGAGTATCATTTTGTTCACAATCCTCAAAAATAGGAAGGATAGGAACAAATTTCACTGGGATTACACTTGATAGATGAGGTACACTAACCATATAGAAATTTCAAATTTGTCACAGTCCAATTATTAAAGTCTAGTTGCTCAGTTAGGTTGAAAACAGATCTCTATGCAAAGTAAAGATTAGTTGAGATTAAAGATGAATTTTCATACAGCTTGGCCAATAGGAGTGGAGATCCATGAGGACACGTAAGGTCCTTCTGTGTCTGTGTCTGTGTCTGTGTGTCTATGTGTGTCAGGGACAGAGACAGAGAGAGAATGAATGTTTGAATATTTGGGGAGCATCTTAACATTACAAGCATTTGGAGTATGGAGGATCTACCAGTAATTAGTATCACTCTTCCAAACTGTGTGAAATTTTTGTTAACATTTAATAATCCAGAGAAGTGAAATAAGTCAAGTGGATTGAGTCCCAGTCCCCCAAAAATGTGCAATAAAAATATAGCAAAAAGTTTTGGAACATTGGTAAGTTACTGAAAATATGACACAACCCAAAGTAGGTAAAAGGGAAGCAGGGGCAGAAGAATCAAAGTTGATAAACAAGGGAAAGAATGTTCTAGTTGGGTGGACACCAATGAAGAAAACTCAGCTGAATGAATACATAGTTAAGGACACGTGGTAGCGGTCAGAAAACAGGACACCTAAATAAGTGATTTCAGAAGTTAGGTAATTCCCAGGTAATGAAAAGCACCAGATAGGCCCCTAGAACACTGACCTGCAATTCAGGTGGTGAACTCAGAGAGGAAGACGTAATGAGAGGACAGAGCCCTGAATCAGATCATCTCCGTGGACACTGACGTCTCTCATGATGATGAACTCAAGAATAAGACTTTGACACAAATGTTAAAATTTTAGTAGAAAAAGAACATCCAGGACACATGAAGGGACAGTACTAGGGAACTGGTGGTAGGCAGCAGAAGCTTCTAAGGAACAAGAGTTTTATAATAGGAGAAAGGTATAAGGGTTTGAAAAGAATTGGATGAAGCAAGAAGAATATATATACCACCCCCAACCTTGAAGTACTTTAGAGTTGGAGAGAATGAACAGCCTTTACTTGAGATACAAGAGAAGCAATGTCCTCAAGGTAAATCTAGCTTACAGGTACAGCTAGGGGAAGAAGCAGTCGATGAAGAAGCAAAGGAAGCAGGAACATTTAATAATCCTAAAGCTGGACATCCAGAGTACAAATGAAATTTTATGAAGAATGAGAGGAAAGTGTATTTTTGGTCAAAG